GCCGGGCATCCGTAACTTCATCAAGAGCTATGTCTCCTCCTGCACTTCTTGTGCCCATGCCAAAGTCCCCCGTCATAAGCCTTATGGCTTGCTCAAACAACTCCCCATCCCCAAACGTCCTTGGAACTCCATCTCCATGGATTTCATCGAACAGCTACCCTCCTCTTCCAGATTCACTTCCATCTTGGTTGTCGTGGACCACCTGTCTAAACAGTGCATTTTCATTCCTACCCACGATACCATCACCTCTCCGGAACTGGCCAAGCTCTTCCTCCTCCATGTGTTCTCCAAGCACAGAGTTCCTTCCCATGTCACCTCCGACAGGGGTCCGGAGTTTGTCTCTCATTTTTTCCGTTCACTTGGTAAGGCCCTCGACATCCACCTCCACTTCACCTCCGGTTATCATCTGGAAGGAGATTGTCAGAGACCAGATTCGAGACGAAGGAATGTCTCCGTAACGGAGGGCTTCGGCCTCAGCGACTTCTGCCAAGAGCGCTGTGCCTAGTGACACGTCTGTGCCCTAACTTACTGACTGGCAATTAGAACCTAAGGGGGGTAACTCTAGTTGATTTTACTACTGGGGCGTAACCTATGTACAAGTGGGATATATATAAGGTTACAGCAGAGACGGTTCCGCAATTGGTGGAGCCGAACGGAGTGGAGCTAACGGGGTTTAACCATTAGCCGACTGAATATTACTGACGAGTCGGTTCGCGGGGTTAGCGGAAAGGCAGGCGATAACCCAGAAACGGAAAGGAGGGATAGGCCCGAAGGTGGGCTCTGCAGGGCAGGCGAGTGTATTGCCCAGCGGAGGCGGGGGTGCGCTAGCGGACGTCGGAGCTGTCCGGAAGTCTTCGGGGCTCCGTACTTAGGGAGGCATAGGTAATAAATTGAAATGAGGGGGTGGTGACCATCGAGGGGTACCGAGAGGATTGCGGAATACGGGGGCTCCGAGGTTGGTGAGGGAGGAGTGGAGTTGGAACGGAGGGATCGGAGGGACCAGAAGTCGATGGCCGGGGATGGATATGACAGAGATGGTCAGACCGAACGGATGAACCAGATGCTCGAGCAGTACCTGCGCATCTACAGTAACTACCAGCAGGACAATTGGTCCGAACTCCTGCCTCTTGTGGAGTTCGCATACAACAACACTCCGAATGCCACCACAGGCGTCTCTCCGTTCTTCGCCAACAAAGGCTACCATCCGAACATCACCGTTCACCTGGAGCGAGACCTAACATCAGTACGTGCCCAGGAGTACTCTGTAGATCTCGACTCCCTCCATCACTTCCTTCACGAGGAAATGCACCTCGCTCAGATCCGTTATCAGGGCCTGGCAGACTCCCGTCGGAGTCCTGCCCCAGCTTTCAAAGTAGGAACCTCGGTCTATGTAAAGGCCAAGTATTTCCGCTCCACCCAACCTTCCAAAAAGCTCTCCGAGAAAAACCTCGGCCCATTCGAGATCATTGCCCATGTGGGAACTCACTCCCTCACTCTCCACCTGCCGGAAAACATGCGAGCCATTCACCCGGTATTCCATGTCTCACAGATCGAACCCTCCATCCCAAATATCATTCCGAACCGCCACCAGCCACCTCCGCCTCCCATAGAAATCGAAGGTGAGATAGAGTTTGAGATTGAGGAGATACTCGACTCCAAGATCGACCGACGTAGACGCAACAAGTTGCTCTACCTGGTCAAGTGGCTAGGCTATGAAGGGACTGACGAGGAGACACAATGTGTCAGGGGACGTCTCACGGGTCCCTGTGACCCCCCCATGGCTGTCATATCCGTGCATACCCGACCCCGACCTGACTTCCGGACCTCCACCCTCTTCACCTCCGGAGTCATAACCTACCGCTGCCGTTCCGATACTCACCTTCAGTCCTGGCAACACACCTCCTCCTTACCTCCCCGACCCTATCTCCGTCCGCTCCGATACTCATCTCGGACCGAACACCGCCCCTCTCGCCACCCTCCTACTACTCCGCTCCCCTTCACAACACCTCCACCCTCCCGTCATCCTCCTACGCTTCCCCCGTCCACTCCAATACTCACCTTCGGACCTGACTACTCTCCTTTCCGCCACTCCTTCTCCCCTTACCTGTCCCCTCTCTCCTCCCTCCGTTACTCCTCCGCCACCCTTCCGCCAAGTTACAACCTTCCACCGCTGTCCCGTACTTCGCACTCGGACACCGCTCGTACCTTGCTCCGAGCCTCCGTCATAGTCCCTACCTCGGACTTTGACTCCACCTCGGTCTTAGTCCATTGCATTGGTGACCTCATACTACGTAAACACCATTGCCAATATCCCTCGGACTTTCAACCCCGCCTCTGTAACCTCCGTAAGCTCCGCAACCCCTGAGCTTTGCAGATCGCCTTCGGCACTCTCGCCGCTTGTAATGTATTTCTCGCGTTTTCCCCTCATCCCTATTTGGACTACTGCTTCTTCCTATTCTAGCCAGTTAGTCATCATCCCCACTTCCTGTTACGGATACGGAGTCTCCAACGACCATATCCATCGCATGGTCAAAGACTTCCCCTCTCTATCGCTCCTCCCCTCTTTCTCCTTTCCGTCCTCTATCCCGCTACCCTATCCTCCTTACCCGTTCTACCCCTTTCCCCCCCCTCGTGCAAAGCTTTCCCCATTGGGGTTTTGGTGCTGGCCGAGGTTGTTTGTGTTTCGCGGGATTTCCCGCGACCTTACCATTTGTAGATAGTCACACGTCATGTACGGAAACCGCCGAAGGCGGTTCCCGCAAACTAACAACTGCTCTACAACTGTCTCGTGTACCGTCTTCTGTAACAACCCTCCCTGTGACTCAACTGAACCTGTGTGACTGTACAACTCTCAATATAAGTCTGGTTATATCGAGTCCTCTAACGGCCCTCGCCGCGAGAACTCGAAGTCGAGAGTCGAAGACTCTTGACGTGTGTATCGTCCTATTGAACCTGTACCCTATGGGTCTTCATCACTCCGCTCTCCCCCCAGTACTCAACATACGACGTCCCATCACGATCATGGTGATCGTGAACACTATGAGGCCCACTTACCCTCGATGCCGGCACGTTCGCTACGCGAACGCCAAGTAGCTGCCCATCCACCGTCTGTTTCTTCCTTTGCCAGTCATCATATGTCCCCGCCAACGGTACGTTCCCTTTGGGAACGCCAAGTCACCGAAGGCCCTAATAGTCAGCCCTCATTGCACGCCTACGATATCAACCCGCTACCGGTACGTTCACACTGCGAACGCCAAGTACCCGATGGCAACTACGTGAAGCTCTCACCCATCTCACCAGTCGCGACCTCGCACACGGTACGCTCCATTGAGGAGCGCCAAGTATCCGTGGCTGACCCATCTGTCCTGATATCTCCGACTATCAATCATCAATCCCTTAATAGCTCACTACATCACCCATCGCGATCGATGGGAATTCGATCGCCCACTCCCAGGTCAGACTGGGATCACTCATCGATTACACTTCCAGTTATGGTACAAACTAGACATGACTCTCGCCTTCCCACTATAAGAATGGATCGAGGAATGGGGAATTTCCCCCATCCCCGTAACACTTCCCCTCATCCTCCTGCCCCTCTGGGCCTCGCCCTCCCTACCTCTTTTCAGACATATCACAGGTCCTGCCTTATGACCTTCGGTACCGCTCCGCTCCCTCTACCCTTTGTTCCCTTTCAGACGTCTTCGTTCCGATTCGGTTACCCTTTGTTTTCCTTGTGCTTTTGCCCCTTCCATTATATATATCGGCGCTTGTACATACTCGTTTTGGTTTAGTCCGAAATCGACCTGAAATGCCCCCTAGAGACTTCCTGCTCACCTACTGTGAAATTAAGGACCAAATGGACAAACAGCAATGGCACAGCGCTCCGCTTGAGTCGCTGAGGCCAAGGTCCCTCCACACTAAGTCTCCAATTCCACTCCGGAGTCGTCCGAATCCGCCTGTTCTAACAATGGCCCACAACCTAAAGGGACACAGCCCTGTCCAGGGCACACGCTGTGGGTAAGAAGGTGAATAGATAAAAGGCAAGTAGTGTACAACTTCCCTGCTGTGGGTAAGAAGGTGAGAAGGAAGCTAACTTCTCACCTTCCCACAGTGGCCCAATATAATCGAAAACTTCCGGAGATATCCGGAAGTCACATGAGGCCCGAGACCCGGGCCCGGGGCATCCGGCCGCACAGAGCGTCCGGCACAGGGCGTGCGCAGGAGGTGCAACGGCTGGGTGTGCATGCGGATGCGGGTGCGAGTGTGGGTGCGAGTGCGGGTGTGGGCTAGGTCAGGGTGTATGCCCTGACACAATGGCTCCTTGCTGTCAGGGGACGGACCCCGGGTCCCCATGACCCCTCTCTCTATAGCCCACAGCCCTGTGTGTAAACAGCCTATCCTAAGGCATAACCTACTGTGGGTAAGAAAGTGAGAAGAAGGTTAACTTCTCACTTTCCCACAGTGGCCCCAATATGGCGAAAACTTCCGGGGATACCCGGAAGTCACATGAAGGGTAGGAACCGGGCCCGGAGCATGCGGCGCACGGAGCATGCAGGGCAGAGGCGCACATGCAGGTCCAGGTGCAGGTCCGGGCTAGTCAGGGTGTGTGCCCTGACACTTGCTGGCGAACTCGATCACGCCTCTGACCTCGTCGAAGCATTCCACTCTCGGTACCCAGATAAGCCTGGACCCGAAGCCCCTTAGGAACCCTGGCTCCTTTCCCATCTCTCCCTTTCTCTCCACTCCTCACTTCCATTTTCATTTTTTTCTTTCTGTAAGTACAGCTCCCCTCACCTTACTAATTCTGGGCCTTCAAGGGTTCAGGCCTAAGAAGGGGATACTGTCATATCCATCCCTGGCCATCGACTTCCACTCCCTCCGACCCCTCTGGTCTACCTCCGCTCCTTCTTCACTAACCTCGGAGCTCCCGTATTCCGCAATCACCTCGGTACCCCTCGATGGTCACCACCCCCTCTTTTCAATTTATTACCTATGCCTCCCTAAGTACAGAGCCCCAAAGGCCTCTGGACAGCTCCGACGTCCGCTAGCGCACTCCCGCCTCCGCTGGGCAATACACTCACTTGCCCTGAAAGTCCACCTTTGGGCCTATCCCTCCTTTCCATTTCTGGGTTATCGCCTACCATTCTGTTAACCCCGTAACCTGACTCATATGGACTTATAGTTTGGGATTCCCTGATCTTTCCAGAAATAACCACCGAACCGGGCATAGTCCGATCGAGTGGCAAAGATAATGTAGTTATCTGGCCCTGTACATCAGCGTCTTCCAGTCTGGCTATCCTTGGGCATTCATAAGCTTGTTTCCACTGATGAAGCTCTAAAGAGAGACTTCCAGAATAGCGGGCATAAGGTGCATAGGAACGGTGGTCACATGGTTCCAATTGAACAACAGTCCATATTGGAGGATATGATTGGGCCGCATGTCTCCACGTCGAGGAGACTTCACTAAGAGTGATAGGAGAAGGGAGATACTTGAAGTTGTAGTCAACATATTCTCTTGGTTGAATGGCATACAGGAAGATTTGTTGCAAAACTTCCATAGGAAGGGCAGCCATGGGTTGAAGGAAATTGCGAAGCCTGGTGCGCCATCGTCGTAAAGTATGTTTGATTGTGCTGAGCTTCTGACTTAGTGCATCAATGGATTTGTAATCCGCATCCATGCATTCCAGGGTGTCTGTCATATCCCGGAATCCTGACCCCACGCACTCCCACCACATCACACCTTCCTAACAACTTCACCATCCCCTACACCATGCCTCCCCACTCCCCAAGTCACCTTCCCTCCTGACTGTCTCAGCTCCGGTCTGGTTGCAGCGCACCGAACCTTGGCCACTCCCATCCCGGAAGCTCGGTCCTGAGTCAGAACATTCGGAGACTCCGGATTTGCTCCGATATCCCAACGGACCTCCGACATCCTGTGACACACCCTTAAACCATTTCTCCACCCATTTCATTTATTTGAGTCACCCAACATCCTTCGGATATGCAACTCCGCTTTCGGAGTTACCTGCATCCCTCGGTGATCTCACTCACATCATCACTTATTAGTCACCTTCCATTCTTAGCATGACTATCTTCTTCTTACCATTCAGTCGGCTAACCCCCCCCTTACCCATTTCTCGTTCCCATTCATTTTCCGGCCTCTTACTCCGCCCTCCATGGTCCGACACCTCGGTTCCCCGTTAAAGATATCGTTCGGGACCTTTCGGTACCTCTCGGTATCATTCGGCACCTTTCAGTGTTGTCCCATTGTCATTCGGACTTTGACTAAGTCCTTTCCATTCCCCTTTATAAATACCCGTAGGTTAGAACCTGTAGTTCCTCAGTTCTAATCTCGACTAAAATGCTACCCAAAGTCCCCCTGAGTGAATCCTGTTCCCATTCTACAAGATACCTCAGACATAAGAAATACAAGGACTAACTGAGACGTAACAGAGGCACAGCGCTCCCTCCGAGTCGCTGAGGCCGTGTCCTTCTTAGAGCCTCTTGTATCATCCAGCAGAACCAGGCTTCCTGGAGAAGCTTCGGTCCACCACCAGAGCTCTCGGATCCCCCTCTAGTTGAGCCCCACCTGCATTCGGACTCATGCATTTACCCCTACGATCCGGGTTTTTGACAGTGTCCTCAATTGTCCTTCGAGAGGAGTGTTGGGTTGCAGTATTGTATGTGAGATGGACGGTGTAGGCGGGATAATCACCCACATGCAGAGCTGGCTCGGATACCCGATTTCACGACTATAAAACCACTTCCATTCACACAACAACCCGATACAAATTCGACATCTAAAAATAGTCCTAATTCGTACGATTCTGACGATATCAAGAACGTCCCAATCGGTGGAGATTTGACGGAGTTCCGTGTTGGAGATGTTAGGCACAGCAGGTCACGGGCATGTGCGGGCGTGGGAATCTCAAGCGGCAACCCAGGATTCCAGCCTCACTCGTTCCCATGGCGTCTAATAAATTGGTAAAAATGCTTGTTGGCTGTGTGAGAGTTATCTCCGGCTACATTTTCAATTTAGGCTCTTAATTCCGCAAATCCATTGAGATATAGCTTATTTTCTTTTATTTCATATTTTGCCATCATTTCAGATATTGATTGATATTCTTTTATTGTTACTGTTACCCTTTTTTATTATTTCGCCTAATAAGGTACCCAGGTGCCATATGGTACCAATATTCCCCATCTATTCTTTCTAAAAATAATTATTAGATATAATCCTGTACATACCGGATTTTTGAAAAGAAGTTCTCCCCTCCCCCAATTTCTCTAAGGTGCTAGGATGCGCTAGAGTTGGAGTGAATGTGTGGAATCCAACAGTAGGAATAAGGGCAACTGTCTAGCCCACAACGAGTGGGTAGTAGATTAGTTGAGCCCTGTCATATCCATACAATCCCGACCTCCGCTCCGGGCTCCCGGAACTCCGAACTCCGACTTCCGGAGCCCTACTTCCCTCCCATCACTTTCTCCTTGCCGACTCCCAAGAGGTTATCCCACCTCCGGCTAGGACACCACCTTCGGTCCGACTCCGGAACATTCCAGGTCCGACCCCAACCTCGACACCTTCCAGACGAGTATGCAAAACCTATGCTCCCGACTCCGGACCTCCGCTCCGGTATCCCGTTCACGTCTCGTCTCCGGAACCTCCGGTCTTAGCTCCGACCTCGGACTTTGACCCCACCTCCGCTTATACCCATTGTATTGGTTAGCTCATTCCATTTAATTACCTTTGCCAATATTCCGGAGTTTAGCCTCCGAGTTCGGACTTTCCGGACTTACTCCGGACCTTGCAACTATTGCATTGTCCATTTCAATTCCGCTATTCTCCCTCATTCCTATTTGGGCTGCTGCTTCCTTCTATTCAGTCAGCTAGCCATTCCCGACTCCCATCCTCCTTCCTTCCTCCTTGGGCCTTGGCCCTTCATTCCTCCTTTGGGAAACACCATTGAGTCAAACACTTGACCCTCGGTGTTGTTCCTCTTTCCATCTCCCTTTGTCTCCTTTCGTCCTACCCTTGTTCCTTTTGATTCCGGACCCCTCCTTATATACAATGTACCTAGTAACTTGTAACCTCAGTCTGAAATCGACTGGAATTCCCCCCAAGAGACTTTCCCTCTGCTAGATCCGAAATTAGGGACCCCTAGGACAACCAGCAATGGCACAGCGCTCCACCTGAGTCGCTGAGGCCGAGGTCCTTCCATGCTAAGTCTCCGATTCCATTCCGGAGTCGTCCGAATCCGCACATTCTAACAAGCCCGGACCTTGCGGAATCCCCAAGAACCCACCACGGAGTTAAGGATCGAGCATAGTGAAGTTCAGTCAAGAAAGTAGGAGTTTTGGAGAGTTTGGCCCCATGAGCTTAGTCGGCATAGAGAGCCACGAGCCCTCTTTCAACAGGTGCGAAAGTGATGATATCATAACCAAGAACATATTGATGCAATGAGTTAGCGTCATTGGACATGCGGTGAAGTAGAGTGGTGAACATAGATTCTGGCATCTTAGACTTGGGGAACGCGGATGTCCTGAGCATTCGGAAGTTTCTGCATCATTCCAGGATGCCAAGAGGATTGCACAACACGAGGCTTCGGATTCTGCAGGGGAGTGAGGCAGATTTATTGCCGAAATCTTGCTTTCCAGCTAGCGTACATGCTTAGAAAAGAAAAACCAATCCCAAATGCCAGAGATATCCAAACAAATATTGGAAAAAGCAGATCATCCACATCCATTCCCACGTTTGCTCCAATGCATTTCAAATTGTGCCATTGCCCGCCAAGCAATTACTCGAGCTTTCCCTTTTGCTTGCAATGACCGTGGTGCTCTCCTTATTCTTCCTTGTTCTCTGTGCACGGCATGTACTAGCATGTACATACTGTAAGGATTTGTAAGCTATCGCACCTGCATTCCGATAAAACGCTGGACCATTCCATCCTCATCCTCTGCTTCTGCATGAATTAAGCTATGGGCATGTATACTGATGCGACAATGGCTTAAGCACTGCAGCTCGCATCACAATCGGAGTTTCCGTTAGTAAGCAAACGATCTACCTTCTCTCACCAATGCAACCCGCAAACCGTCTCCTCTCATCCATAGCTGCTGTGCTCATACTACTCCTTGTGGGGGTGTTATATTACCGCCATCGTCATGCATGATGAAATGTCGTATTCACCCAACAACCATACTCAGACCCATACAACAACCTGTCTCCAGAATTTGGGCGGGGTGAAGGATGGAATACAATGGGTGGCACTGGCATGAGCTACCCACCCCCTGCTCATCCAGTGCGTCCATGCTGTGCACCCGGTTTTGACTCATGCTAATTTATCTTTTTTCAGCCTCCACCTGGCGGACATCACCAATATCCTCCACCTCCTGGACTGCCCCCTAATCATCAAGTCTGAAAGCGACCACGAACGACTGACAGTTTGATGGCACTCCTCCCTCTTATATCACCCCTGATTTTTTGCCATCGGCCAGGCTCTCAGCCCCAGATGCTACACCTGGGCTCCCTCGACCCCAGATGAGTCCCTGACAAATAGCCAACCTGTCAGGGGACAAACCCGGGTCCCCATGACCCCTCTCTCTATAACCCAGAGCCTGACCTGTAACAGCCCATCTCAGGGCACAATGCTACTGTGGGTAAGAAAGTGATATAAACAAAGGGACAAGTAGATACACTTGCCTACTGTGGGTAAGAAAGTGAGAAGAAGGTTAACTTCTCACTTTCCCACAGTGGCCCCAATATGGCGAAAACTTCCGGGGATACCCGGAAGTCACATGAGGTGGGATCCGGGGTCGGATCATGCGGCATGCGGAGCATGCGGCGCAGGAAGTGCGCGGGAAGTGGAGCGGGTCCGGACGCGGGTCCGGGTCCGGGCTAAGTCAGGGTATGTGCCCTGACACAACCTCAACTCATATCGGAAATTCATGACCAATGTTTGTTATTCGAAGGATAAACCTGGATTAACAAACATTGAGAAGAATGTTTCTGATGGTCTTGAGGATATTCCGACACTTACTGAACTCTGTGTTCACACTTTGTATAGTGAATTTGTCTCCCAACCCTTGGTGCAAGAGCTCCATTATGGCATTGATAGGGTCAATGGGATTTCACTTGGGCCATTACATGATGCTGTCCTGACTCACCTATCCAAGATCCAAAGCAATCCTTCCCTTTGGCTCACTCACAGCAGCTCATTTGTTGAGGCAAGCCTAAATGGTGCCAAAATCAAAAATACCGAGGCAATTGAAGCAGCACATGTACTTTCCCTTCACCTCCCCCACATACTGGACGCTCTTATTGCATTTCTGGATGGTGCCTCTGAAACATACATGTCAGGGCACACCTGCCTGACCCTGTGCCACACCCCACGCTGTACTGCCCTACTCCACTTCCCCCACTATCACCCCCTGTCCCTCCTTTCTCACTTTCCCCCCTCCCTCTCTATTTCTATTCTACGGTCGATTTCCCTTTTCTCCATGTACCACTACATACCTAACCCCGTTCCCCTGATCACCGCACGCGCTGCGCACACTCCTGCCTCCTGAGCGGCCACCTCCGGGATCTCCTGCAGAGACACCTGGGGAGGTGTGGCTGTGTGCGGAGATGACGTGGCTTCCTCCATGTGACCCTAACTGCATGTATATAATAACGCCGCGACGGGACCGCCACTACACATAGCCGACACCTGTCCCACCAAGTCCCTCGTGCCGGGACCTCGCCACTTTCGGAGCTGTCCCTGACAATACACCAGGTTCTCAACAGAGTTTGCTATTGGGGGGACAAATCAACTCACTGACACCAGAAGAGATCGAAAGGATCTTCATTCCAAGCACAAATGATGCAAACAAGGGTGCACTGTCAGGGCACACACCCTGACTAGCCCAGACCCGGACCCGCATCCGGACCTGCATCTGCCCACTGCACTTCCCACATCTGCGCACACTCCATGTGCCGCATGTTCCAGGCCCAGTTCCCACCCCCTCATGTGACTTCCGGGTATCCCCAGAAGTTAGCTTCCTTCTCATCTTCTTACCCACAGGAGGCAAGTGTATCTACTTGCCTCTTTATCTATACATCTTCTTACCCACAGTAGGTTGTGCCCTGGATAGGGCTGGTTACACCAGTAGGTTGTGGGCCATAGGGGAGGGTCATGGGGACCTGGGAGTTGTCCCCTGACATGCACTTGGCCAACTTTGGTGCATGAAGCAGCTGAGTACACACATGATGCAGATGAAGTTGAATGCCATCCAGATGGCAAAGCGGAATGGAGTAGATGATTTTATAGTTGGTAGTCTAATAGGAGGGCTAAAGCGGGAGCTCAGTCTCTGTTAATGAAGAACTGAATTACTACAGTTAATACTAACCTAAAGCAGGAGCTATAGTACAGAAGAGTACAGAGTAAGTAATGTAACAACTAACTAAAAACAATGATACTAACCTCAGTCTCCGTTAATGTTAGAACTGGGCAAGGGTGGACGATTCTGGAGGGGAACCGGAGACTTAGCAAGGAGGGACCTTGGCCTCAGCGACTCAAGTGGAGTGCTGTGCCATTGCTGTTTGTCCATTTGGTCCTTAATTTCATAGGAGGTGAGCAGGAAGTCTCTAGGGGGCATTTCAGGTCGATTTTAGACTAAGGCCTAAAACGAGTATGTACAGGCACCGATATATATAATGGGAGGGTGAAAGCACAAGGAAACAAAGGGGATCTGAATTGGAATGAAGGCATCCAAACGGGAACAAAGGGAAGACCAAAGCGGAGCGGTACCAGAGGTCATAAGGCAGAACCTGTGGTACATCCAAAAGGAGGTAAGGAGGGTGAGGCCCAGAGGGGCAGGAGGATGAGGGGAAGTGGGGATGATGACTAACTGGCTAGAATGGGAAGAAGCAGCAGTCTAAATAGGGATGAGGGGAAAACGCGAGAGATACATTACAAGCGGCGAAAGTGCCAAAGATGATCCGTGGAGCTCAGGGGTTACGGAGCTTACAGAGGTTATGGAGGCAGGGTTGAAAGTCCGAGGAATATTGGCAATGGTGTTTACGTAGTATGAGGTCACCAATGCAATGGACTAAGGCCAAGGTGGAGTCAAAGTCCGAGGTAGGAGCTATGATGGAGGCTCGGAGCAAAGGTATGAGCGGTGTTCGAGTACGAAGTACAGGACAGCGGCAGAAGGTCGTAACTTGGTGGGGGATTGACAGAAGAGGGCCAGAGGGAAGAGAGAGGAAGGAGGAAGGGTGTGGAGGAGAGGAGAGGTGTCAGGTCCGAAGGTGAGTATCAGAGCGGATGGGAGAAGAGTAGGAGGGTGACGGAAGGGTGGAGGTGTTGTGGGGAGGAAGCAGAGGAGTGGGAGGAGGAGTAGTAGGAGGGTGGTGAGAGGGGTGGTGTTCAGTCCGAGGTAGGTATCGGAGCAGACAGAGATAGGACAGGAGAGGGACGGAGGAGTGGAGGTGACATGGGGGGGGGTGAGAGGAGGTGTGGTGTCAGGACCGAGGGTGAATATCGGAACGGACAGCAGTAGGGCAGGACTCCGGAGGTGGTGAAGAGGGAGGTCCGGGAGTCAGGTCGGGATCAGGTATGCACGGATATGACAGTTAATGAAGAACTGAGGAGAAAAGGAAAGTAGAGCGAAAAGAGTATATGTTAGAATGGGCGGATTCGGACGACTCCGGAATGGAATCGGAGACTTATCATGGAAGGACCTTGGCCTCAGCGACTCAGGCGGAGCGCTGTGCCATTGCTGGTTGTCCTGGGGGTCCCTAATTTCGGATCTAGCAGAGGGGAAGTCTCTTGGGGGAATTCAAGTCGATTTCGGACTGAGGTTACAAGTTACTAGGTACATTGTATATAAGGAGGGGTCCGGAATCAAAAGGAACAAGGGTAGGACGAAAGGAGACAAAGGGAGATGGAAAGAGGAACAACACCGAGGGTCAAGTGTTTGACTCAATGGTGTTTCCCAAAGGAGGAATGAAGGGCCAAGGCCCAAGAAGGAAGGAAGGAGGATGGGAGTCGGGAATGGCTAGCTGACTGAATAGAAAGGAAGCAGCAGCCCAAATAGGAATGAGGGAGAATAGCGGAATTGAAATGGACAATGCAATAGTTGCAAGGTCCGGAGTAAGTCCGGAAAGTCCGAACTCGGAGGTTAAACTCCGGAATATTGGCAAAGGTAATTAAATGGAATGAGCTAACCAATACAATGGGTATAAGCGGAGGTGGGGTCAAAGTCCGAGGTCGGAGCTAAGACCGGAGGTTCCAGAGACGTGACGTGAACGGGATACCGGAGCGGAGGTCCGGAGTCGGGAGCATAGGTTTTGCGTACTCGTCTGGAAGGTGTCGAGGTTGGGGTCGGACCCGGAATGTTCCGGAGTCGGACCGAAGGTGGTGTCCAAGCCGGAGGTGGAATAACCTCTTGGGAGTCAGCAAGGAGGTGACGGAAGGGAAGTAGGGCTCCGGAAGTCGGAGTTCAGAGTTCCGGGAGCCCGGAGCGGAGGTTGGGATTGTATGGATATGACAGTATATACAATTATATACATTGTGTCACAAGGCGAATATGGATGTAAGAGAGATCATGTGGTGTTGGTTGGTAAGTCACAGGTCGTTGTTGCTCCAACATAGTCTGTCCAGCGAAGACCAGAGAGCACTGATGTCACTTGCGAGGCTGTGGGATATGTCAGGCCATGAGTGTGAGCGGAAGCGAGAAATCTGAGCAGCAAATGCAAAGGTGGCAGATAGTCAGCAGAAGGCCAAGGCTGCAAAAGAAAGGACACAGGCAAAGCAGGAAGCACTCAAGAAGTTGTCAGAGGATGTGATCTATGATTTAGAAGGAATAAAACCAAGAAAGCAGCCAAGCAACAACTTGACGTGCACCAATACCTTCATCCCAATGACAAGGACATCCCAAGGGTTGGGGTCTTTAGCAGTATGAATAATGAAGAACAGAAAGAGGTACTCACACAGATAGCCAGCAAGTATTATCCTGTGTAGCACTCAGTAGTTGACTCAATATGGGGATGGGGGGAAAGAATGACGATGATAGCTCGATGTTGCAATGGCCCACACAGTTTTAAGTGGCTAATGAACAAGAACAGATATTGGACAAATGGGATAAGCAAATAGGGTGGGGAAACTGCTGCATATGGAATGGCACAGCATAGTGGGCTGACAAAACTCGGAGTAGGACAAGATGCAGAAAGGGGACCTAAAATGATATTGCAACGTAAAATGCATACCAGAACATCATTATGTCTTGTCTTCCAACACTGCAACATCCCCAGCACCTGGAAGGATGGAGAGTGATGCAATGTGATCATGTTTGGCATGTCCATAGTTCAATCACTAGAATGCCCATTAATCTACTCATATTTGCATGGGTTTAATCATCTATCCTTACAATCTCCTTACTTCCAAAGTTTTAACGTGGTTTCCAACCTAGAGGCCAGTTTTGCTTATGTAAGTGTCACAACGTTACAACGTTGGTTGACGACCCCCATTTATAGTGAAAAAGGCCTTTTAGGCCCCATGCAAATGTCCTGAGGTCCCCCCTATAAAGGCCCACATAGTAGTTGTCCAAGGTGGATGTCTTCAACGTTGTAAGGCCTCCATTAGGCATCCACTCAAAACACTCATCGCCAACTTGTGTGCTCGTTCATTTTGGCACTTGCCGGTTTACCAGAGTAACCTCCGATCATTGATTCATCGCCACGGTACAAGTACTATTTCTCATGTCGAAGATCCTGCAAGATAGCCTTCCGCGTGTGTCGGCAGATGTGGAAACACTTGGCGACTATGTCCGAGCAACTACAGCCGCCAAGATCACTCCCCTTTACTGCCTCCATGGGCCACCAGTCCGTCGATCCCATCGAGCCTCTGTGATGGAAGCTCTGGGTAAGGTGGATGTTGACTACAATGCAATCCTTAAACAGTTAGGAGAGTTGAAAGCCGTTGAAGCCAAGTTCCGTGTTTGGCGTGCTCGACTCCGCACTTCCCTGCAACCTGTTGCGGCAGTTCCAACAGAAGTTCTCCAAAGGATTTTTTACTTCTCCGTTCGTCGGGCCAACCTCCACCAACGCACGTTCGCGGACCCCTTAGTGCTCAGCCAGGTGTGTTCTGCCTGGCGCCGTGCTGCCCATTCGGTGACATCAATTTGGACCATCATACACGGGCATTGTGGGGCGCTGGATCCAGAGCTGAATCCAGAGTTGAATCCATATATTCTATATTCGAGAGACAAACCTCTTCATCTCGACCCCTACCCCCGGGAGTGGGAAGATGAGAAAACACCGATGCAACATGAAAGAATTCGTTCCCTGCATCTTCCCATTGGCTCCGACATACGACTCTCCGATTACTCCCAGCTTCACCATCTTGAACTATGCAACAGTGCCAAGCATTCACTCGTCATTTTCAGACCACTCTCAGAACTGCAGGAGATACGCTCTCTATCACTGAGTAACATCTCATTGTTTCACATACCCCAGAGTCTACCCCACCTGTCTAGCTTGAGGCTCGGGTGTCTTGACTGGGATAAAGTCAGGCCGCTCACCAAGTCTGCCTTTCAAAATATTGAGAGCCTCCATCTTAATCACATCACTGGTCATGGGGCTCACATGGGGACGGGCGCTTTCGGAATCCCGGGCTTTCCACGGATTCACACGCTTGAACTGCGCCATTGCTCTCCTGAATTCCTGTACTCTGTCTTCTTTAGCATGCATTTTCCTCGCCTGTCGGACCTCACCATAGCAACTGAGAGCAGTCTGGGTTCACGTGACCGGTCGTTCGACCCAGATAGAAGTAGTCTTGGGGTGGTTCTCCAGCAGCTGGCACCTTTTGTAAGAAGAACTTGCCTTCCCGCATTAGCAAATGGCTGCTGATGCGGTTTTGTAGCTTGCTCGTGCGACACAAATCGAACATTTATCTTTCGGTCTAGTATCCGAGGCTGATCTCAACTCTGTACAACGACTCCTGATCCCGTCATTCCTAATATACGAAGATTTGCAAGCTGACCTTTTGTCATGGAACCTTCTCCCCAACCTTCACCACCTCACACTTGTATTTGGCTCTAACTCTCTAATGTCACCTGGTAGATTCCTTTCGCTCTTGAAAGAAATCTTCACGGATCGCATACGATTCGGGATGGACGCCAAATTGAAACTCTCCCTCTCCCCAAATTTATTCCACATTGTGAGCGAGGCCTGGTCCATCGGAGATTTGGTCGAACAATTGGAATGTGTACCAGAGGAGTTAGCCCCAGTGGACAATAGTGCCACACTTTGTGAATGGTGTCGTTATTGAATGATTCTTGTGTCTAGCAACCTAACTTTCCAACCCAATTCAACCCAAAAACAAAAAACTATTAGAATGTGGATTCTATTTACATCGGGCTTTGGGCGCTTTGGTGCTTTGGTTCATTAGAAACTCCGTTGTGCGACGATGTTGCCACTCGGTGACATTGCGTATATACGAGTGTGATATTTGGAACTCTCTCTCCCTCAAATCTCTCATTAGAGTCTGAGGTAAGAACGATATCTTCTTTTTCCAACTCATGTATTACTCGTGTCGCAGTCTAACGCGACATGGGTATACTATCTACAATATATCAGATCTAACTCTAATAAAAAAACAGTTGAACTCCGCCACGTCGTGCGTGTCGTCAGTGTCCGTGGGCGAAGCAAAATATGTACTTACGACGGGAACATTCTGTTCCTTCTCCGGAAGCGGTCTTGTGCAAGGTCACTGGCTTGGAATGATACTAATAGGGGATTCTGTCAAGTCCGTGCACAGGGCTAACAATTCCTTTTTTTTTGAATTCACGTTTCAACACATCTATTTCGACTCTGCGAGTGATCAACGCTGACTGTGTTTGACATCACGCGGTTGTTAGGAACACCCTACTAAATTCCCAGGGCGGGCCATGATGATGCAGTTGTAATACGAAACCTACTGCATCGGAGGCAACGTCACCATCCCGAATAGGGTATTTCCAGTAAATCAGCAAGTTGGCACGCTTCTCCTTATAGGGACCTAAGGACGAAAGCCGAGAGACCAAAACCCTGATGGAAAACATGGTTACATATTTGATTACAGAATATAATAAAATCGGTGGGGCAAGTCCAAAACTGCCATGTCATCAATTGAGTCCAAAATAACACAGTGTGGCGTGGGAATTGAGACGTCATGAGGGTGGCATCTGCCGCTCGTCGTTAACAGTTAAGCTTCATAATTGGGTGGTGGCCCAGAAGGTGGAGAGTACTGGGGATTCCCACTAGGGGACGGCTGTTGGAGAGGTGAAAAAAATTTAACAGCAAGGTCAACCAAAGGAGCCGGCGTACGATATGGTGACGTACAGGGTGTGTAGGAGGTGGGTAGCTTACGCCACCTGCATTAGTTTCACTCCAGCCACCTGCCTTCGGGCCGGCAGGCTCAGGGTCTTGTGGATGAGACGATTGCACACTGTATGGGTTGTACGGTGGTTGGATGAGGATCCCCCACGTCGCCGAGCACGACGTTGGCGAATGTACAACATTACAGCGAGGAATATCAGGCATGCGATAGCTGTGGGAGGGGGGGGGGAGGGTCGACCTTGCTCGTGCGCCGGAGAGGAAAAGAAGAGAGATTTTGCTTACTGACGGATATTCCAATCGCGATGCGTACCCCGACGCTCACATAATTGTCGCACTGATATACCCTCCCAAGGCTTAGTACGATGAACGGGAGGACATGAAGGAACATTTCGCACAAGGACGATAAAAAGGACGGGTTCAGTGGCTTCATCAGATGACACGACGCCGCTCATAACTTACATATCTTCACAGTACCGTGCAGCTAGAGCAGTCCGCACGCAGACAGCAAGAAAGAGTGAGAGCACTACGATCATGGTCGAAGTGGAGGAAAAAACGATGTTTAGTAGCAAGGTTATGTTATTTGAGGCGTGTTGTTTTTTTTTGTGGGGGAGGGGAGGGGCTTAAAGGGAGGGCGGCGGAGATATTTGCAATGACCGAAGCTTTTTAAAAAATGTGGGAATGGAGGCAGTGCAAGCGGAGCCGCTAAAGTAAGACCAAAGCGTTGCCAAAGCGCCACGACCCTAGCCGAAGGAGGGCCATGCGGTTAAGCGCGCCTCGCTAATGCATCCCGAACTCGGCTGTCAAGACCTCACGTTCTCCGTCGGTCCAGCCGAACTCCCTCAGATCACCTTATAACTTACGCAAGGTTTAAACGCTACCATTATCCATACTTTGTGTCGGCTTTCTAGATCCGTTCGCCTGTTATAGCCTAGTTGCTCGTTGATTAATCACGGAATTCTATCTCTGCGCGTCTCCCGGTTAAGTATTTTATTGCGCACTGGTTTTGACGACGAATATGGCATGCAAAATATTTGATGCGCGTCTACTCGCATTATATTAATCGTTCTAATACCGGCGCTACGGCTACAATGCAGCGGAACGTCTACTTCCCACATGGATCGCTATGTCTAAGCCACGAGCAAAGGGGCTAACCTGGCCACATAAGGATGAATATATAGAGACATTGCCTTCGCGTTTAGAATATTCGTGCCCGAGTTCGCTGACCAATAAACTGCGAAGCGCGACTTTCAGCTGTAATCACACCCCACTCGTTGAGACATGTCATTGTTGCATAGCTAAGTGTCAAGAAAGGGGTCTCAGAGACCTGATCTCGAATGTTGGGGATAGGCTATGTAGAAGGTATGTTTCATAACATATAAATTGCGAAACACCACACCACTTATGGCTCAGTTATCAACCCACGAACGAAACATGCTCAGTGTGTATCAGAAAGTCTGAGTCGTTAAGCGGTAGCGATGACACGCGTGTAAGAATACAAACTGTTAGGGGGGGTCGCAGGGGGGGGAAAGGCAGTGGAACAAAGCAAAGTTAGAGCATTTGGATATTGTTATAGGGACTTCCGCGGAAGTTGTGAAGCGGGCGGTACGGCACGCCTGTCAATATAGAGAAGTGGTGAAATCATAACGAGACAGGTACCCGACTGGATCATGATAGGCGGGAGGTGGCCACCCGTTGCATTCCATCCCGGCTCGCCCCCCACACACACACGGCATCCCTCGGTTCTGGAGACGGATGAGACGGGTGGCCCCCCCCAGCCTGACGTCCAAAATAATGGATACCCGCTGCGAACCCAACGACTAATGGACAAGATCGAGAAGAGTATCATCTTATGGTAGGAGTAAGGAACGGTCCAAGCGTTTAGGACCGGAAGACAGGGACTACGTACCAGTGGCTTACATATAATAGCTTACATATATAGATAACAGAATTTGTTTTGCTTGGCGCGCGCGGGCATCGCCGAATTTTTCAAACATGGCATGCTTTGCGCCACTGAAGGCCGATGATGTGGATTGGGTTCGAGGGTTACTATATCCTTTGAAAATATCGCGCGTGCTGCTGACACAGTCTGCACGCATATTAAAGGTAAAGTCGACGCCCCCATATGCACATACCTCAAAACATGTACTTATTTTCGTGCCGACAATTCTATCCTCTCATATGGTACTCGTTGTGGCCTCATCCCTATATATACATACATGCATTGCGCACGGACGCACGATCTCCATGATTTCTTGACTACGCTGTCTTTGACCGTTGTCTAAATTCATCTGTAAATACTTTCTAGTGAAACCTCAGGGAGGAAAGAATTAAATGGAAGTTTTTAAGCCTTCAGCGTTGCTGCAATGATGGGCAATGATGGAGATCGTGCGTCCGTGCGCCATGTATATGTGGGACGACGGGCTTTACCTCTAATATTCCTCACAACGCAGACAAGCAACAAACATTCCTATAACGTAGGGATTTCGTAATCAGCTATAAGTATACCTCAGCGGCTACACTCGCGAGACCAGATGTATGCTAGAGGCAAAAACTGACGATCCTTGTGAACGTCCGTCTGTGCGTAATGAATCCATTGCGGAGCGGTAGCTCCCGCGCGACTGCACACGATTCTAGATATCAAAGTGGTCATTGATTGATCGCGGAGTTCATCCCCTCGCGTCTCTGTGTTACACTAGTTTGGAATGACGCGCAACAGTCGGTCACATAAAGGTCAAATCGAGATACAGCCTTGCATGGGTTGCAATACCCGTGCGCGAGTCACTGACCGGTTGCTGAGACATGGAACTATCAGTGGGTATATAAATCGTAAAATCATAACCACTGATGGTTCCAACCATCACTCATAAACGAAACACACCTGGCGTATCAGAATGTCTGTATGGATGGATACCTGGGGGAGGAAAATAAAAGGGCGGTGGAGCAAAAGAACGCCAAAACATGGTTTATTGGTTACCCGCAGTCTGAGTCGTGAGGGCAACGATAACACGCGTGTAGGATATAATCACGATGGAAAAAAATCAGGGGTGATATAAGAGGGAGTGCCATCAAACCGTGAGTCGTTCGTGGTCGCTTTCAGACTTGATGATTAGGGGGCGGTCCAGGAGGTGGAGGATATTGGTGATGTCCGCCAGGTGGAGGCTGAAAAAAGATAAATTAGCATGAGTCAAAACCGGGTGCGCAGCATGGACGCACTGGATGAGCGGGGGGTGGGTAGCTCACGCCAGTGCCGCCCGTTGTATTCCATCCTTCACCCCGCCCAAATTCTGGAGACGGGTTGTTGTATGGGTCCAAGTATGGTTGTTGGGTGAATACGACATTTCGTCGTGCATGACGATGGCGGTAATATAACACCCCCGCAAGGAGTAGTATGAACGCAGCAGCTATGGATGAGAGGAGACGGTTTGCGGGTTGCGTTGGTGAGAGAAGGTAGATCGTTTGCTTACTAACGGAAACTCCGATTGCGATGCGAGCTGCAGTGCTCAAGCCATTGTCGCATCGGTATACGTGTCCATAGCTTAATTCATGCAGAAGCAGAGGATGAGGATGGAATGGTTCAGCGTTTTATCGGAACGCAGGTGCGATAGCTTACAAATCCTTACAGTATGTACGTGCTAGTACACGCCGTGCACAGAGAACAAGGAAGAACAATGAGAGCACCACGGTCATTGCAAGCAAAAGGGAAAGCTCAAGTAATTGCTTGGCGGGCAATGGCACAATTTGAAATGCATTGGAGCAAACGTGGGAATGGATATGGATGATCTGCTTTTTCCAATATTTGTTTGGATATCTCTGGCGTTTGGGATTGGTTTTTCTTTTCTAAGCGCGTACGCTAGCTGGAAAGCGAGATTTCGGCAATAAATCCTCCTCACTCCCCTGCAGAATTCGAAGCCTCGTGTGTTGTGCAATCCTCTTGGCATCCTGGAATGATGCGGAAACTTCCGAACACTCAGGACATCCGCGTTCCCCAAGTCTAAGATGCCAGAATCTATGTTCACCACTCTATTCACCGCATGTCCAATGACGCTAACTCATTGCACCAATATGTTCTTGGTTATGATATCACCACTTTCGCACCCGTGCATCTCACATACAATACTGCAACCCGACACTCCTCTCGAAGGACAATCGAGGACACCCTGGAACACATGGATGCGGATTACGAATCCATTTATGAACTAAGTCAGAAGCTCAGCACAATCGAACATACTTTACGACGACGACGCGCCATACTTCACAATTTCCTTCAACCCGTGGCTGCCCTTCCTATGGAAGTTTTGCAACGAATCTTCCTGTATGCCGTTCGACCGAGAGAACATTTCGACGACTTGGAGTATTTCCTTTCTCCTATCACTCTTAGTGAAGTCTGCTCGACATGGAGACACACGGCCCAATCGTATCCTCCAATATGGACTGTTGTTCAATTGGAACCGTGCGAGCAGCGCTCCTATGCACCTTATGCCCGCTATTCTGGAAGTCTCTCTTTAGAGCTTCATCAGCAGAAACACAATTATGGCCTCCCAAGGATAGCCGGACTGGAAGGCGCTGATGTACGGGACCGGATAACTACACTATCTTTGCCACTGGATTCGTCAGATGATTGGTGGACCAAGTTCGGTCGTTATTTCTGGAAATATAAGGGAGTCCCAAACCATAAGTCCATTGAGCGCCTGGCTCTGCTCGCAAATAATGATGTGGAAGATTCTGCTTACAGCTACCCCCTGACATTCCTTCCATCGCTCCGTCATCTATTCCTTGAAACCATGTTCGTCCCGTTGTCCACCACCCAGCTGGCAAATCTCGTTACTCTTGTTGTCCGCTGTGTTAAAATTGATAGCTCAACGTTTACCGGGTTCATCGGTGCCTGCGACAGTATCCAGGAATTGACCCTAGACCTGGTGAACATCAAGTGCGACGAGGATGACGACATTGTCTCAATCCCATCTCTCCATACTCTTTCCGTTGTCCGTCCGATTGCAGGTTTTTTTGCCGGCTACAGGACGCCTCAACTCCAATATTTTACCCTGCGGGATAATTTGGAATTTCCTCAACCTGCGTACCTGCACACAGTGGAAGATTTTGTATGTCCACACCTCGATGACACCTCTTTTACCAAAGTACCCACTTGATCTCTGTTATAGATAGCAGACACGCCGACGATCAAGGTCGCTACCTTGGGGATCGGACCCCAACTCCTATCTCGTATTCTCGAAAGATTATGGCCTCATTCATCCCATTTAGAACATGACAATCTTCGTTATTTAACGGACCTCACCATTTCTGGGCATCGCAGATGGCCTCTTGATGACGTTAAACTTTTGATCAAAGCTCGCTTGGAAGGTCATCAAGCAGAGCTGAGACCGCTCCAGAGATTATCGGTACCACGCTTTATGTTCGAGGATGATGTGGATTGGGTTCGAAGTCGGGTGCAAGTGTTAGAACTGATTGATCGATATCGTTGATTGAACGGTACATGTGTTATAAATTCATCGAAACAAATGCATGGGAACATGTCTTCCCTCTCATCCTTTGCCACCATGTCCAGTGACTCCTATTCAAGACAGTCTAATCATACGGCTCGCACAGTCCCACTTTCTGCAGTGTTGGGGCCGCGGACTTGGCCTCGGCTGGACATTCTATCAGTCAATGAACAACTCTGGAATCCCGATGTTACTTCTGTGCACCTATCGCCTATGTTTCGTCGTTGTCTGCTTGCGGGGGACATGCTGTGTAAAGGGTGTATATTTATAGCATACAAGTCGCGAAACCCCCACATTTCTTCACCATCACTCTTGAACGAAACACGCCCCGGGTATCATGGATGTACCTGTCCCCTGCGGAACCCCAGGGGCAGGTAACCAAAAAGGCGAACATGATTTTTTGGAGTCTTAGTCGTGAGACAAGTGACAAGCGAGTAAAACTACAGAGAAACTTTCAGAAAAATTCAGGACATTGGCTATTGTTACAAGAAATCGGAGCTGAGGCAGCGTGAATGTGACATGGTCGTAATTAATATTAATCTCAACACAGTCGAAGCTAGTTACTGGCTCTGCTTTTTCCACCATTTGTTTGGATATCTCGCTGTTTGAGATTGATTTTTCTTTTCTTCTCCGTTATAAGCGCGTACGCTGGCTGGCAAGCGAGATTCCGGCAATAAATCCGCCTCACTCCCCTGCAGAATCTGAAGCCAATCCTCTTGGCATCTTGGAATGATGCGGAAACTTCCGAACGCTCTGAATCACCTTCACCAAGTCTAAGATGCCAGAATTTATGTTCACCACTCTTCTTCACCGCATGTCCAATGACGCTAACTCATTACATCAATATGTTTTTGATTATGATATTAGCACTTTCGCACCCGTCCATCTCACATACAATACTGCAACCCGACACTCCTCTCGAAGGACAATTGAGGACACCCTGGAACGCATGGATGCGGAGTACGAATCCATTTATGAACTAAGTCAGAAGCTCAGCACAATCGAACATACTTTACGACGACGGCGCGCCAGACTTCACAATTTCCTTCAACCCGTGGCTGCCCTTCCTATGGAAGTTTTGCAACGAATCTTCCTGGATGCCATTCAACCAAGAGAATATTTCGAGTTCGGATATCTTCCTTCTCCTATCACTCTTAGTGAAGTCTGCTCGACATGGAGACACGCAGCCCAATCGTATCCTCCAATATGGACCGTTGTTCGATTGGAACCGTGTGACCACCGTTCCTATTCATTTTATGCCCGCTGTTCTGGAAGTCTCTCTTTGGAGCTTCATCAGCGGAAACAAGATTATAATCGCACAAGGATAGCCGGACTGGAAGGCGCTGATGTACAGGACCGGATAACTGCACTATCTTTGCCACTGGATCAGACGGATGATTGGTATGCCCAGTTCGGTGATCATTTCTGGAAAAGTAAGGGAGTTCCAAACCCCGAGTCCATTGAGCGCCTGGCTCTGCTCGCAACTCATGGTGTGGATGGTTCTGCTTACAGCGACCCTCTGAGATACCTTCCATCGCTCCGTCACCTATCCCTTGACAACATTTTCGTCCCGTTGTCCACCACCCAGCTGGCAAATCTCGTTACTCTTGTTGTTCGCTATGTTGAAATTGATAGCTCAGAGTTTACTGAGTTCATCGAGGCCTGCGACAATATCCGGGAATTGACCCTAGACCAGGTGGACATCAAGTGCGACGAGGATGATGGCATTGTCTCAATCCCATCTCTCCATACTCTTTCCCTTATCCGTCCAAATGCAGGTTTTTTTGACGGCTACAGGGTGCCTCAACTCCAATATTTTACCCTGCGGGATGATATCCGGAGTTATTCACCCGCGTACCTGTGCATGGCAGAGAATTTTGTATGTCCACACCTCTCTTTGACCAAAGTGCCCACCACATTTCTGTTATAGATAGCGGACACGCCAACGATCAAGGTCGCTTCCTTGAAAATCGGACCCCAACCCCTATCTTGTATTCTCGAAAGATTATGGCCTCATTCATCCCATCTAGAACATGACAATCTCCGTCATTTAACGGACCTCACCATTTCTGGGCATCCCAAATGGCCTCTTGATGACGTTAAACCTTTGATCAAAGCTCGCTTGGAAGGTCATCAAGCAGAGCTGAGACCGCTCCAGAGATTATCGGTACCACGCTTTATGTTTGAGGATGATGTGGATTGGGTTCGAAGTCGGGTGCCAGTGTTAGAACTGACTGATCGATAAAAGTGCATTGAACGGGTACATGCTATAAATTCATCGAAACAAATGCATGGAACATGTCTTCACTCTCATCCTTTGCTACCATGTCCAGTAACCCCTATTCAAGACAGGCTGATCAGACGGCTCGCACAGTCCCACTTTCTGCAGTGTTGGGGCCGCGGAGTCAGCCCCGGTTGGACATTCTATTAGTCCATGAACAACTCTGGAATTCCGATGTTACTTCTGTGCACCTATCGCCTATGTTTCGTCGTTGTCTGCTTGCGGGGACATGCTGTGTAATGGGTGTATATTTATAGCATATAAATCGTGAAACCCCCACATTTCTTCACCATCACTCTTGAACGAAACACGCTCCGGGTATCATGGATGTACCTGTCCCCCTGCGGAACCCCAGGGGCAGGTAACCAACGTGGTTTATTGGAGTCTGAGTCTCAACACAGTCGAAGCTAGTTACTCTGCCTTTTCCAATGTTTGTTTGGATATCTCTGATGTTTGAGATTGGTTTTTCTTTTCTTCTCAGTTCTAAGCGCGTACGCTGGCTGGCAAGCGAGATTTCGGCAATAAATCCGCCTCACTCCCCTGCAGAATCTGAAGCCTCGTGCGTGCAATCCTCTTGGCATCTTGGAATGATGCGGAAACTTCCGAACGCTCAAGCGTTCCCCAAGTCCAAGAACCCAGAATTAATGTTCACCACCCTACTTCACCGCATGTCCAATGACGCTAACTCATTACATCAATATGTTCTTGATTATGATGTTAGCACTTTCGCACCCGTCCATCTCACATACAATACTGCAACCCGACACTCCTCTCGAAGGACAATCGAGGACGCCCTGGAACACATGGATGCGGATTACGAATCCATTCATGCACCAAGTCAGAAGCTCAGCACAATCGAACATACTCTACGACGACGGCGCGCCAGGCTTCACAATTTCCTTCAACCCGTGGCTGCCCTTCCTATGGAAGTTTTGCAACGAATCTTCCTGGATGCCGTTCAACCAAGAGAATATTTCGAGTTCAAATATCTTCCTTCTCCTGTCACTCTTAGTGAAGTCTGCTCTACATGGAGACACGCGGCCCAATCGTATCCTCCAATATGGACCGTTATTCGATTGGAACCGTGCGAGCACCGTTCCTATGCACCTTATGCCCGCTGTTCTGGAAGTCTTTCTTTGGAGCTTCATCAGCGGAAACAATCTTATAATCGCCCAAGGATAGCCGGACTGGAAGGCGCTGATGTACAGGACCGGATAACTGCACTATCCTTGCCACTGGATCGGTCAGATGAGTGGCATGCCCCGTTCGGTGATTTCTGGAAAAGCAAGAGGGTTCCAAACCACGAGTCCATTGAGCGCCTGGCTCTGCACGCAAATTACGATGTGGAATATTCTGGTTACAGCTACCCTCTGGCATTCTTTCCATCGCTCCGTCACCTATCCCTTGAAAACATTTTCGTCCAGGTCCAGTTGTCCACCACCCAGCTGGAAAATCTCGTTACTCTTGTTGTCTGCTGTGTTCAAATTGATAGCTCAGAGTTTACTGAGTTCGTCAAGGCCTGCGTCAATATCCAGGAATTGACCCTAGACCAGGTGCATATCAACCGCGACGAGGATGACGGCATTGTCTCAATCCCATCTCTCCATACTCTCTCCCTTATCTATCCAAATGCAGGGTTTTTTGCCTGCTACAGGGTGCCTCGCCTCCAATATTTTACCCTGCAGGATGATATCCGGAGTTATCCATCTGAGTACTTGTGCATGGTGGAGAATTTTGTATGCCCACACCTCGATGACTCCTCTTTTACCAAAGTACCCACCTCTCTGTTATAGATATCGGACACGCTGACGATCAAGGTCGCTACCTTGGAGATCGGACCCCAACCCCTATCTCGTATCCTCAAAAGATTATGGCCCCATCCATCCCATCTAGAACATGAAAATATCCATTATTTAACGGACCTCACTGTTTCTGGGCATCCTGAATGGCCTCTAGAGGATATTAAACTTTTGATCAAAGCTCGCTTGGAAGGTCATCAAGCAGAGCTGAGACCGATCCAGAGATTATCGGTACCACGCTTTATGTTTGAGGATGATGTGGATTGGGTTCATCGAAACAAATGCATGGGAACATGTCTTCACTCTCATCCTTTGCCACCATGTCCAGTAACCCCTATTCAAGACAGGCTGATCAGACGACTCGCAGTCCCACTTTCTGTAGTGGGCTCGATGTTACCTCTGTGCACCTGTCGCCTATAAATACTGGGTTTCGTCGTTGTCTGCTTGCGGGGACATGGTACATTTAGAGCATATAAATCGCGAAACCCTCGCATTTCTCCACCATCACTCTTGAACGAAACATGCCCCGGGTATCATGGATGTACCCGTCTCCTGCGGAACCCCAGGGACAGGTAACCAAAAAGGCGAACATGGTTTATTGGAGTCTGGGTCGTGAGACAAGTGACACGCGAGTAAAAATACAGAGCGACCGGGGTCAAAAGGCAGTGGAGCAGAAATTTTCAGAAATTTTCAAGACATTGGCTATTGTTACAAGAAGTTGGAGCTGAGGCAAGACCGCAATGACACGCATGTGAAAATACATAGTGATGGAGGGGAGGGAGGTGGGCTCAATCATAAGAATGCCAAAAATCGAGGTGGCAGACCGCCGGTTCGCTGTGATTGCTTCAGACCTGATTATTACGGAACAGTTCAGGGGATGGATGGTACTGGTAGTCTCCGCCAGGGGGAGACTGTGTTAGTTAAATTAGGGTTGCGTCAAAAAAACCGGGTACGTAGCACGATCAGAACTAGTGGGGACGCACTGGATGGGCAGGAGGTGGGAATCTTACGCCGCCCGTCATGCTCCATCCCTCACTCCCAGGAGCCTTTGGACTTCCTGGTCCAGATTCTAGGGATGCATAAGGTGGGAAAATATATGAGTTGTGTGGGTTGGACGGAGGTGGCGGGGCGTATATGATCGCTTGCTGCGCATTGCGTTCGGCGCGACAACACTTGACTACTCCGTAGACTATTGCGATCACAATGATTACGAGCCCAAAAACTATGGATGAGAAGAGTGTGATCTTGGTGATGCATTGTGGAGGGAAGGGCCTTGCTTACAGGAGCCAATTACGACTCCGACGAACTCCCCAGTGCTCAAACCAGTGTCCAAAATCCCGTTGCTGCAGTTCCCCCAGCTTGGTTCAGGATTCGGGTAGGGCAGGGGAGGAACGGTTCAGTGCTTTTCGGAACACAGGGGCTGTTCATAACAGCTTACAAATCACAATATGTATCCGCTAGTACAATCCGTGCACAGACAACAAGGATGAATAAGAGCACGTCGACCATTGCAAGCGCAAGCAAGGGGGAAAGATCGGATAACGATTGGCGCACGAATTTGAAATGCTGTGGCGGGGCGGTGCAGGCGCTCAACTAAGGGATTCAGTAAGTGGCTTGTCTTTTACCACACCTCAAGTCTGTTATAGATAGTGAGAATGCGGGTGATCAAGGATCAAAGCCACTGCCTTCAAAAGTAGAATGGAAGCCCTCAAAAGATTATGGTCTCATTCGTCCTGTCTGAGTCCCCAGTTTCATGGACTCGCCATTTCTGTCTGAAGGCATCTTGAACGGCCTCTGTGCTATCGGCTCAGGGTCTTGTGGACGAAACGGGCCATATGGTGGCTGGATGAGACTCCCGCCACGTCACCGGGGCGAATGAATAACGGGAATAGCAGGAACGCAACAGCTATCGATGGATGAAAGGGATCACCTCGTTGGTGCGTCAGGGAAGGGAGTGGGACGTGGCTGCTTACTGACGGACATTCCGACGATACGTATTCCGATGCTTCGAGCCTATGTACATTCCTAGAGAAGGGAAGAACAGGGAGGTAATTCGTGTGGACGGCTAGGCGCTTCAACGGAAGACAAAAAATTGCTTTACAGTCACACATTTCCCCAGTATCGTGCCGCTATTACAGTGGACCGCTCGCAGACAGCAGAAAATTGCAAGATTATTGCGGAGAAAAGCCAAAGGAAATGATTAGTTAGCGCGAAGCCTGAGTAAGTTGAACGATGACCAAGTTATTGGGACCAGGGTGATTACGCAACATATCTTCTGTGTGCGCCTTTTTTGTTCACCTCATTTGGAAGATGCAGCTGGTTGTCGCCTCGCCTGAATAGAGACTGAAGTGGTCGTTGATCTGTCACGGAGCATTTACTCCTCCGGGATTCCATCCCTGCGTGTCTCCTGGATCCCAATACAGTGTGCACTGGGTTGGAACTACAACTATTCATGCACATTTCGGCGCTACAGGCTACGGCTGCAATGCAGCGGACATTTACCTTAGCCATCAGGAAGGAGCTAACCACGACCACATAAAGATCAAGGACCAATTTGAGACAGCCCCAAAATTGGAATATCCATGCACGAGTCGCTGACCAATAGACTCTGAAGTGCAACCTTTGGACTGTGGTTAAAGTTCAATTGCTGAGACGTGGTAGTTGTCAGAAATCTCGAAATGAATATAGGGAGTATACATCATGTAAGGCCCAAAACTCCATGCCACTGGTGGCCCAGCCATCTGAATTAGCTCCGAACGAAACACGCCCAGTGTTTTATATACCTAGAACACGGATACACCGTGAACCTGGGGACAGGAAGCTAACCAGCAGTAGAGCCAAAAGAATGCCGGAACGTAGTTCACTGTTACACGAAGTCTGAGTCGTGAGGCCAGAGGCAACGACACACGTGCGAAAATATAAATTGGTTGGGGGAGAATGCGGTAGAGCAACATAAAATGTCAGAACAGCACCATTTGTTGCAGGAAGTCTGAGGAGCGAGCAGTAACGACACGCACGAAACAATGATGCCAAAATCAGGTGATATGGGAGTGAGTCCACAAGACGGCAACCGCCATGTAATTAATATTTATATTGCTTGATGTAATAAGCGGGTCTTGAATGCGTAAACTGAATGCTCGTGTTCCAAAATCCTTATCTTGATTTGTAAGCCAACTTTCCGCATTTGTTTTTGTAACTTCCGTATCCTGTCCTCGCTTTAAAAGCTCCCCTTCCCAATAACTTCCCCTGCCCATCATGCCATGCTCCTTTCTTCATTACCCATTCTCTCTTTCACAGCCTTGTTCAACATTTCCCTAATGTCTGTGGCCAATGATGTCATCACCCATTGCACGGTCATTAGCGGTCAGTTTGACTCAGTACCCACGAGGTTTTGAGCTGTGAAACAGATGAGCTTATGTGCGAGCCTCCTGTTCTTTCGCGCGAACTTGTGCTAATAAACATTGCATTGCTGGTTCGGGAGGATGTGTAGGATTTACAGACGGACTCATGCATGGATTTTTTTGGGGTTATGTTCGCTGGGCGCTTATGTTACTTGTGGATTGTCTACCAAAGTCCAAAAGAAAAGCCTAGTACCCTGCCCGTCGGTGTAGGTCCCAATCAGGGAGGGTCAGGAAGCCGGGCGGATTTTTACCAATAAGGCATGATAATGTCGCGCTCCCCAGGCTTGAGGCTCTTCGAACACAGGCCATCCTGGGAAGGACGCACTGCAGTTTGAACTTTTAAACAATCCTCATGAAAAAGGCATCCTGTTGCGCATTCAAACCCACCTCGAGTTAAACCAATCAGGGCCCAGCCCTGAACGGATTCGCTCACGCAGTCACCATGGACGACACTCAATTTTCATCCCCAACGCCACTCTTGTCGTTTCAAATCAAGCTGAGGGCCTTGGGAGTTGTCTTGTTGCAAATGCATGAATTCGCCACAGCGTACACGGGTAGAGCACTCGTTCAAGAGGAGATACCAATGTACCCCAGCGCGCAGTGACACAAGTTTGGCTAACCGCCGCACTGCTGAAAAAGAAGAAAGGCCAGGGGAATTTGCAGGGGGATTTGAGACAGCACTGTAACTCACAATGCTGAATTCAATCTGGCCTTCCTCCATGGACGTCAGATGAGAGAACCGATAAGAGTAGCGGGTAATGCCGCAACAGGCGGGGTCCATCAGTTATCAGGGTAGGGAGCGGCAACTGACACGCAAATAAAAATACAGAGCGGCCGGGGTAAAAAGTGGAGCAGAAATTTTCAGGACATTGGCTATTGTTACAAGAAGTCGGAGCTGAGGCAGGCGGCAATGACATGCATGTGAAAATACATAGTGAGGAGGAGGGAGGTGAGCTCAATCATAAAAATGCCAAAAATCGAGGTGGCAGACCGCCGGTTCGCTGTGATTGCTTCAGACTTGATTAGTACGAGACAGTTCAGGGGATGGATGATACTGGTAATCTCCGCCAGGGGGAGACTGTGTTAGTTAAATTAGGGTTGCGTCAAAAAAACCGGGTACGTAGCACGATCAGAACTAGTGGGGACGCACTGGATGGGCAGGAGGTGGGAAGCTTACGCCGCCCGTCGTGTTCCATCCCTCACTCCCAGGAGCCCTTGGACTTCCTGGTCCAGATTCTAGGGATGCATAAGGTGGGAAAATATATGAGTTGTGTGGGTTGGACGGAGGCGGCGGGGCGTATATGATCGCTTGCTGCGCATTGCGATCGGGGCGACAACACTTGACTACTGCGTAGACTATTGCGATCACAATGATTACGAGCCCAACAACTATGGACGAGAAGAGTGTGATCTTGGTGGTACATTGCGGAGGGAAGGGCCTTGCTTACAAGAGCCAATTCCGATTGCGATGAACTCCCCAGTGCTCAAACCCAAACCACTGTCATCGCAGTATCCCCAGCTTGGTTCAGATGAGGGTTCGGGTAGGGCAGGGGAGGAACGGTTCAGTGCTTTTCGGAACACAGGGACAGCTCATAATAGCTTACAGATCACAATATGCATCCACTAGTGCAATCTGTGTACCGACAACAAGGAAGAATGAGAGCACGTCGACCATTGTCGCAAGCAAAGGGGAAAGATCGGATAACGATCTGGCCCACGAATTTGAAATGCTGTTGCGGGGCGGTGCGGGCGCTCAAGTGAGGGATTCAGTAAGTGACTTGTCTTTTACCACACCTCAAGATAGTGAAAATGCCAGTGATCAAGGATCAAGGCCACTGCCTTCAAAAGATTATGGTATCATCTGAGTCGCGACAATCTCCCTGGTTTCATGGACTCACCATTCTGTCTGAAGGCATCTTCAACGGCATCTGTGCTACCGGTTCATGGTCTTGTGGACGAAACGGGCCGAATGGTGGCTGGATGAGACTCCCGCCACGTCACCGGGAACGGCATTGGTGAATGAATAGCGGGCCCACAACAGCTATGGATGGATGAAAGGGGTCGCCTCATTCGTGCGTCAGGGAAGGGAGAGGGACGTGGCTGCTTACTGACGGACATTCCGACGATGCGTATTCCGATGCTTCGAGCCTATGTACATTCCTAGAGAAGGGCATAACATGAAGGTGATTCGTGTGGACGACTCGGTGCATCAACGGAAAACAAAAAAGCTACACATTTACATTTACAGTCTTACAGTATCGTGCCGCTACTACAGTGGACCGCTCGCAGACAGCAGAAAATAGTGAGATCATTGCGGAGAAAAGCCAAAGGAAATGATCAGTTAGCGGAAAGCCCGAGTAAGTTGAACGATGACTAAGTCATTGGGACCACGGTGATTAGGCAACACATCCTCTGTGGCCGCCTTTTTATTCGCCTCATTTGGAAGACGTAGCTGGTTATCGCCTCGCTTACGGAGCTCGGGAGCGGCCAGGTCAAAGTTTTTGAAACTGAGAATCGACAATTGTACAATTATGCCAGTCGAACCTGCCACTGATCCCTGGTCGGCCCATTTTGCTTCCGCGGACACTTGCGTGGGCTCTTGGGCTCTGGCGCATGGCGTCTATTCCTGTGCGCGTTCTTAAGCTTTAGCCATACCAGCCAGCCAGTCATTCGTCTATGTCTTGATTTCTTTTAATTCTGGAGGCAGACCGTTCCAAGTGTTACCACCGGTATTCATTCAATTGAGCTCGCTTTGGATCTCGCTGCGCTGTGGGCTCCAGTGCACGGCATCTATTCTCGTCTCATCAAACATCCAGCTGAACTGGGCTACCATCATACTGTCAAGTGTAGTATTGGGCTCCTCTGATTGTCGCTGACAATCTCACGCCACTGGGCCGGGCCGCCACTGCTCCAAAGTCTTTAAAATCCCACTTATGGTCTTGGCCATCATTCTCTATCGTCTCCATGCCGCGTAATAATAACCCAAATGGAAAAAATCAGTATGGCCCCGTCTGTAAGTAGGTGTTGCTTCATACCACCACCCTCATGATCAACTTTTCTCCAGCCCGAGCCTCAGATGCGCGCCTTGCTGAAGCACTAGGGAGGTACCATAGGGAGCTCATCACAAACCCCACGACTATCAAGGAGCTGCTGGGGGCTGAACCTGAACCTATTCATATGAGGTGCGTATTCACGTTTCTGGGATCCATAATGCCTAGACCATTTGCAGTACCCGAACAATCCGGCGTCGAATGAAGGAATTAGGCCTTTCAGCTTCCCGTACTACGGCAAAGGAAATACACCCTATCCGTGAGACGCAACTTGTGCTGGACCAGATGGACAAGGACCCAAACATGCGGAGAGGGGTTAGATCAACGCGTGCAAAGATTGCAATGGAAACAGGAGTCCATCTGAGAGGGTGAGTATTATTTCCCTTCTACATCTTCGCTTTGGCTAAACCAAATACTCAGAGAGCGCGTAAGGGAAATCATGCAACAGTATGAGCCTGAAGGATTTGAAAAGCGAGAACCCCGTGGTAAGAAGATCAAACGACACCCTATTATCAGTGTTGGTCCTGGTGCGGAATGGAGTGGCGATGGCCATGACAAGCTGAAGAAAATAGGCTTCTCAATATACGGGATACGCGATGTCGCAACAGGGAAATGGTTGAAGCTTAAGTTATTGCCTGATAACCGCTTGAAAGAGGCGATTGCATATGTCTATCTTGAGTTGATTGAAGAGATCGGTGGTATGCACATCGCTATTATTGCTCCACTATTTCTCAGTACCCTTCACCATAGGAATGCCAGTTCAATCAACGACAGACCATGGATCGGAGACAACGCTTATGTGTGCATATGCTCACGCTTTACGGTATGTGGTCTTGTGAATCCTTGCGTTCAAGATAACATCTCCATGCCTGCTAAGGGAGTTTTTCTATCCTGAACTGGATGGAAATGAGATTCCAGTTCATCGCTTTACATCTAGTACCCGGAATATTGTGATCGAACGGGGATGGCTTCGGCTGCGTGAGGAATTTGGTGATAATATGGTCTTAGTGTTTAGACAAGGGGAAGAGGAAGGGATATACAATCCGGAAAACCTGGAGCACTAGTAAGTAGATCGACATGCCACCCATCATAATCTGCCATTGAATTACCACTTATTCTAGTAATTTGTGCCGGTGGCTCTGGTCATCTTTCTTGGCTTGGGGACTGGAGAAATGGCGTTTAGAGCAAAATGCCTTTAGGGTTCGCAAACTCAAGAACAAGCCTGGCCCTTCAGGTGTCTCTGCAAATATCGCATATGCACTTCCGGGGACTTTTGGCATGAAAGATGTGCTTTTGCGAGATATTGACGTTGAAATTGTCCGTCGGAAAAAGGAACAGCTTTCCCAGGATTCTCTTCATTTTGTGCCTCCAGAATACGCAGAAAGGGCCAAGGAAGTTTATAACTCCTTGAATGTCCGAGAGCTCTCAATTCACAATGTGTGGGATATCTTTCGCAAGATGTTGTCTATGATGTAGAACTACTCTTCTCTTCTCATCCAAGCATTGCAACCCCAAGACTCATAAATATGGAACAGGATGAATATGACATAAGTAGTTTGCGTATCTACTAATCCTCATCCTCTTCATTGGTATCCCCAAATTTTGCGCTAGAGTCTAGCCCATTCTTTCCACTGCCATCGTCGCTTTCCGAGTCAGCATCCAAACCAATGAGAGTACAAATCTTATTACATTTATGTCTGCTGAGATAGTCATTCATTGCCCGGACTCCTTCATCAAAATATCCCAGTCCGGAATTCGTGCCATCCGACCTAAAGGCTTGATTACAAACCGTAGGCCAACATAATTGGATAAAACTTGCCTGAACTCGGATGAGTGCCCTTGAGGATCAAAAAGCATCCAGCAACTGACGTCAGCGGAGTCACTCCAGATACCTAATTTGTGGAAATAAATATTGTTTTTTTGAAGTTACGGGAGCTCCGCACACCTTGAAGGTCGGTGATCAAGAATTTTCCTCCAGACATCCTGTAGGTATAATGTTGAAATGCATCCATAGTGTTTTGCTCAGATGGACGTAGTGATGGCTCAACATCACCAGCGGATCCAGTGAACTTTTGGAATCCTCGTGATTGGGGTGGGTGAGGCAGGAATTTGGTAGCAAGAAATGTGTCATATGGAAGAACGGGTTCCAACGAAATGGATGGCGCTTTTCCGACTAGAGTCCCTATGAACATTCCATCGGTGTTAAACCGAATGTCTATTGGTTGCAGTCTGTTGGCTATTGCACAATTGGAACGAGCATCATGTATACTTACTAACGAAATTATTGCGTCTAATTGTGCGGTCTTGAACAGCCTTATTCATACAGTCCATGAAGCTTATGGCAAACTGTTGAGCCAATCCTGTGATACGAAGCTCACATTCCAGGTAGTACTTGACCTCATTTTCTGTGTGCTTTGATTGCTTTGGGATGCAAAGCGCTAAACTATGTTCACCTTCCCGACCCTACGTGGATTCTTAAGTACTGATCACGGAATTCCAGATGAGCACAACACTTACATATATGGCGATTTTTGAGAACCCATCCCCAATGTACCCAGATCCATAAAAAGGTTTACCAGCTTTTGCCAATTCCAGACCATCACGCCAGTCTTCTGTGACTAAGACCTCCACTGTGTCAGGAACATCCTCGATTTTGATAAGCTCACACTCCGAGCTCAATATGCGCTTCTTGACTGTTATCGGTATCATTTTCCCTTCGAAAGTTGAGTAGGATTTGACTTCACTCGGGCGTGATATGACATCGAGTAAGTCAATTTTGGGGTTTACCCATGGCATACTCTTGTAGAGTGGCTCGGATGCACGGCGCAGACGTTTCGATCTCAAATCTAGATAGGACGGTGAGTAATATACAGACAAGAAACCGTGAAAGTAATACTCGCCACTCTCCTCCGATTCCTCCAAGATAAAGCTCTTCCGTTTCCTACTTTTTTTTGGAGATGGAGGGACCTGAAGTATGAATATATGCGTGAGATTGGAGAGAAAGCACTACCCTGAAACTTACAAGCTCACTCAAGTCATAGCAGATGCGCAAAGTAATCTGCCGCTCCTTGACATCCTCTGGGCTAATGTGGTCCGTGAGAGCAAGGTGATTAAATAACTCAGCAATGGTTTTCCCGCTCCACTCGGACATTGGGAGTATTGCATATCGGGGTCGTTTACCATTTACATGCCAATAGAATGTGAGGATATCGCTATGAATGGTAAATATGAACACCAAAATGACGGAATGGAATAATTCTACTCACTTTTTGACCTCCGGCAATAAAGGATATAACTTGCGATGACTCCGACGAAACTCAGAAAGGAGAGCTGCCTCCACTGCAGGCATAAGAGCCTTGTTCTCATATGTTTCATGGAGTCGCAAAGGGTTGAGCTGTGGACAGCATATTGGCAATAAGTAAATTAAACTCGACTATGGGTCATACCTGCACCATTTTATTCTTCTCAGTACGAAAACCAAGAACATCCACCCTAATTGTTTGCCCTTTGACTGTGGCAATTCTCTGTTGATATGCTGCACGGTAACTTTGGTTTGACTGTCTTTCAGCTACAGCGCGCTGAAGGGCTTCATTTTGTGATCGACCTTTTGCAAGGCGCTGGTTTGAGACACTTTGATGATGGTGCTGGACCCGCATGTCGAGTCCAGTAAGAATGTCGTCGAGCGGCAGTGTTGGTATGCTATCAGCTGGAGCCTGAGTGGTTGTGGGGAGTGGTGGAGGATGTGATGGTACGGAAGGAATACTACGGGAAGGTCGTATATTGAAATGGGCTAGCGTCCCAGTGATGACTGGATCCCTGAATATGCGTTCCGGAGTCCCATGTTTCGCTAGAAAGGTCATATGAGAGTGTATGAGGCTGGATGGAAGGAATGGGCATACATAAATAATCAATGCAAGGAGGGCATACAATAATTTCTCCTCGTCGAAAGTATACGCCACAAACTCGGCATTGCGAATTTCGTCGGGCCTTTACTTCCTGTAAGCCTACATTATATCTGTCAGAAGGGGTCAGGACGGCATACCTCTACCTCCTTGATATTTTCTGCGTCCTCAGGCAAGGCATCAAGAGCGATGCATATTGCGCAGTCGTTGTTAGGTTCCTTGAGGGGGAAGTCCTTCCCACAGCCATTGCAGACATTGAGCAACATGATATGCCACTGAAAAACGGCCTACAACTGGACTGAAGGCCTCTTATATAGCTTAGAACCTTATGAAAGGTTGACTGCTGAGTGGCGTGTGGCGAATCAATGGTGACATTAGATTTTCATGATGTGTGCATCGGTTGGTGGCCCGGCCCAGTGGCGTGAGATTGTCAGAGACAATCAGAGGAGCCCAATACTACACTTGACAGTATGATGGTAGCGCAGTTCAGCTGGATGTTTGATGAGATGAGAATAGACGCCGTGCACTGGAGCCCACAGCGCAGCGAGATCCAAAGCGAGCTCAATTGAATGAATACCGGTGGTAACACTTGGAACGGTCTGCCTCCAGAATTAAAAGAAATCAAGACATAGACGAATGACTGGCTGGCTGGTATGGCTAAAGCTTAAGAACGCGCACAGGAATAGACGCCATGCGCCAGAGCCCAAGAGCCCACGCAAGTGTCCGCGGAAGCAAAATGGGCCGACCAGGGATCAGTGGCTCAACTGGCATAATTGTACAATTGTCGATTCTCAGTTTCAAAAACTTTGACCTGGCCGCTCCCGAGCTCCGTACTCGCTTGAACAGAGGTTGAAGTGGTCGCTGATCTATCACGGAGCATTTGCGCCACCGGGATTCTATCCCTGGATCCCAGTACAGTGTGCACTGGTTTGGAACTACAACAGCACATGTCTATTCGTGCTCAACTCGGTTGTCCTAACCGGCACTACAGGTTACAGCTGCAATGTAGCGGACATCTACCCCAGCCATGAGAAAGGAACTGACCACGACCACATAAAGGTCAAGGACCAATTCGAGACACAGCCCCAAACTGGAATATCCGTGCGCGAGTCGCTGAACCAATAGACTCTGAAGTGCGACCTTTGGACTGTGGTTAGAGTCCAATTGCTGAGACGTGGTAGTTGTCAAGAAATCCCGAACGCCGGGGACATGTGCGTAGGGGGTACATTTATATCATATAAGCCGCAAAACTCCATGCTACTAAACGGAACACACCCAGTGTTTTATGCACCTAGAACATGGATGCACCGTGAACCTGGGGACAGGAAGCTAACCAGGCAGTAGAGTCAAAAAAAAGCCAGAACATGGTTCACTGTTACACGAAGTCGGAGTCGTGAGGCCAGAGGCAAACAACAACACGCGTGCAAAAAATATAAAGTTGGTTGGGGGAAAATACGGTAGAGCAAAAAATATCAGAACATCACCTATTGTTGCTGAGCCATGGAGCAAGCAGTAACGACACGCATATGGAAACACGAAGCAATGACGCCAAAATCAGGTGATATGGGAGTGAGTGCCACGAAAATAGCAACCGCCATGTGATTAATATTGCTTTCATACTTGATGATCAGGGGGTGGTCCAGGAGGTGAAGAACCGGCCTGGTGATTTCCACCAGGAAGAGGCTGCCGAAAGTTACATTACCGTGCATCAAAACCAGGGCGCGTAGCATAAACAGCACTAGTGGGGACACACCGAATGGATGGGAGGTGGAACTTGAAGGCTTACGCTGCCCGCCGCATTCCATCCCTTGTCCTCAGCGGCCTTTGGACTTCCTGGCGTTGGGTTGGTAGCTGGACTCTCTGGGTCGTCCGGTCGCTGGTTGGGCCTGGCGTCTCGCCGTGCACGACAACGTCGAACGAGGCAGCTGATTGTCATTAGAAATAGTGCAACCGCAATGTCTATGGATGAAAGAGTGTTGCATTACTACGGCGTTGGGGAAGGAAGACCCTTGCTTACAGATGGCAGCTCTGAACAGGACAACAATGAAAAGACTCAAAACTTGTCCCATTGGTATCCGTCCCCAGATCTTAGTGTGGAATCGGGATATGGTTCAGCGTTTGATCGGAACACTGGGGCGACTCACAATAGCTTACACACGATTCGCCAGGGCACTCCTCGCACAGAGAAGGAAGAGAGAAGGCAACACAATCATTGCAGGCAAAGAGGGTAACAATTTTCTTGCACCTGGCAGCTGCGACAAATTTGAAATATGTGGGGATTACTTAATAACAAACTAGAGACCTTAAACCCGTGGGGTGCTCGTTCCTCGCACACCCACGCGTTCTTCGGTCTCTAGCTCCTGCGGAGGGCATCGGGGCTGCGCCCCGAACCCCCCTGGGGCGTTGCCCCAGACCCCATTGGGGCTCCGCCCCATGCAACGACATCCTTGGTATTATTGTTCCCCATGTGCTAAAGAAATAATGAGATATATGGTGATTATTTATGAACCAAGGGGCCAGCCCCTTGAACCCCAGCTCCTGCGGAGAGCTATTGGGGCGTTGCCCCAAGCCCCACTCCTGCGGAGAGCCTGGGGCTGCGCCCCAAACCCCCCCCCCATTAATCATGTACACAAATGAGAAATGCCTTTTCCCCTGTTGACAATGCACTGGAAGTGGGGCCTGCTACACACAAATTACATGGACCACATACCCACCTTACACCCTTGAGCACATTTGTGTATTTTTATTTGCTGTTTTTCTGGCTATTTCCACAAATTTACCATGAAATTTGTTCATTCTCTATCAGGTTTTTTGCTGTTATTTATAAAGCAGTGTTCCCCATGTTGCCATGATTTTTTTTGATTTTATTTTATAGAGAGCACCTTTTATTTTTCTATCTTTTTATTCTTTCCTGTCCCCTGTTGCCGTGAATTATCTGGATTTTAATTTGTATAGAATACCTTGGTATTATTTTTCTTGGTTTTCCCACATTGCCGCAATTTTTTCGGATTTTATTTTATATAGAATACCTTGGTTTTATTTTTGGATGTTTCTATTTCATGTTGTCCCATGTTGCCATGAATTTTTCGAATTTTTACCTTATCTGGAACCTTAGTTCATTTGGTTCTGTTGTTGGAAACTCCGGATTTTAACTTACTTACTTCCTATTTATTTATCTATTTTACATGCTAATAGCGAAAATACAAAGAAAAAAACAATACCACCATTGATTGTACATGCCAATTTTCGACAAAAAACAATAACTTATACAACAAAAATACTACTACTACTATTACTATTACTATAATTATTTATTCACTATTTACTACTATTATGACCTATTTATCTACCTATTTTATCTATTTATCTATCTATTTCATCTATTTTACATGCCAAAGTCACATGGGAACAAAAAAGAATTGCTCCCATGGGGGGGTGGGAACCGGTTTTGAGTGGGGGTATTAGTACTTTTTCGCATATGTCTGTGCGCGGAAAAAGTTGTGGGAGGTTACGCTCAATTGCTCACGTGAATTTCCTCAAACTAAACATATACACGTGATTTTTCACATAAACCTATCATATCTCTGTCAGTTCTCATCCGTTTCTCCTCGGGTTTTTTTCAATTGGCGCGTCTTGATGTCCTCTACATGTTGTATTATTAGTCCGACCCATCGTTCCGCGATCCAGAGGAGATGATGGCGATTTTACTCATTTCCCATGCACACACTGTATGGTAATCTATTATATCTCGCTGAATACTGCATCAAATGTTCTATAGTTTTGCGTCCTATTTTATATATTATTAACGCAAAGATTTCATATTTTTCTATATTTCTTTTGACATCCGTGAGGCGCTGGAAGACGTTTCCCACGCACAGACCATGCGCAGAGCAGACACTACATTCGTATCTCTGTCAGTTCTCATTCGTTTCTCTTCGGGTTTTTTTTAACGGGTGCGCGTTAATGTCCTATACAATCCGTACTATTACCCAAACTTGATATTTCGCGATCTTGAGGGTGCCAAGTGAAATTTAATGGAATAATTTATTATATCTCGCTTGATACTGGACCAAATGTCCTGAAATTTTGCGAACCATTTTATATACCATTGACGCAAGTGCCTAATATTTTTACATATTTTTAGAACATCTGTAGAGTGCTGGGGACCGTTTCCCACGCACAGATCATGCGCGGAGCTGACACAGGATTCGTATCTCTGTCAGTTCTTGACCGTTTCTCGTCGGGCTTTTTGCAATGGGCCCGCAGTAACTTCCTTTCTATTTGGTATTATTAGTGAAAGTCGTGAATCAGCATGAATGAGGAAGTGGAACGTTTTTTCCACAAATAAACCATGTACATTAGTATCTCTGTCAATTTTCATTCGTTTTTCGTCGGGTTTCTTTTGATGGGCTCGGATCACCTCTCTGGTTATTTTCTATTATTGGTGCAAGCCGCGAATGAGCGCGTATGAGGCGGTAGGACATGTTTTTACATTTTTTCACAAAAAAACCATGTACATTCGTATCTCTGTCAATTATCATTCGTTTTTCGTCGTTTCTTCTTGGACATGCTCTTTATGACGTCCTCGTTATCTTATATTATTGGCGCACATTGCGAATGATGGTGTATGAGGCGGTGGGATGTTTTTTCACATTTTTTCACACAAAAACACATGTACATTCGTATCTCTGTCAAATCTTGTTCGTTTTTCGTCAGGTTTTGTTCAATGAGCTCGTCCAAACAGCCTCTCTATACCGTATTATTCACTTTAGTCATCAAACAGCCTGTATGAGGCCGTGGACACTTTTCCCACACTCAAAACACGCGCTGGCATGGGCCACACCCCATATCTCTCTCAGTTTTCAACCGTTTTGCATGGGGTTTTTTGCAATGGGTTCATGCCAACGTCCTCTCCATTTGTTATTATTGCCTCACTACAGGTCATCCAATGCAATGGCAAGATGCCACCTTGAGGCCTTGAGCGCGGGAAAAGCTTATATAATTACTTGGAATCAATACATTCAACCTGACTTCATTGTAGACTAGAGACCTTAAACCCGTGGGGTGCTCGTTCCTCGCACACCCACGCGTTCTTCGGTCTCTAGCTCCTGCGGAGGGCATCGGGGCTGCGCCCCGAACCCCCCTGGGGCGTTGCCCCAGACCCCATTGGGGCTCCGCCCCATGCAACGACATCCTTGGTATTATTGTTCCCCATGTGCTAAAGAAATAATGAGATATATGGTGATTATTTATGAACCAAGGGGCCAGCCCCTTGAACCCCAGCTCCTGCGGAGAGCTATTGGGGCGTTGCCCCAAGCCCCACTCCTGCGGAGAGCCTGGGGCTGCGCCCCAAACCCCCTGGATATATTTGATTATTTTTTACACCAAGGGGCCAGCCCCTTGAACCCCTGCTCCTGCGGAGGGCCATCAGGGCGTTGCCCCGAACCCCACTCCTGCGGAGAGCCTTGGGGCTGCGCCCCAAACCCCCCCCCCCCCCCATTAATCATGTACACAAATGAGAAATGCCTTTTCCCCTGTTGACAATGCACTGGAAGTGGGGCCTGCTACACACAAATTACATGGACCACATACCCACCTTACACCCTTGAGCACATTTGTGTATTTTTATTTGCTGTTTTTCTGGCTATTTCCACAAATTTACCATGAAATTTGTTCATTCTCTATCAGGTTTTTTGCTGTTATTTATAAAGCAGTGTTCCCCATGTTGCCATGATTTTTTTTGATTTTATTTTATAGAGAGCACCTTTTATTTTTCTATCTTTTTATTCTTTCCTGTCCCCTGTTGCCGTGAATTATCTGGATTTTAATTTGTATAGAATACCTTGGTATTATTTTTCTTGGTTTTCCCACATTGCCGCAATTTTTTCAGATTTTATTTTATATAGAATACCTTGGTTTTATTTTTGGATGTTTCTATTTCATGTTGTCCCATGTTGCCGTGAATTTTTCGAATTTTTACCTTATCTGGAACCTTAGTTCATTTGGTTCTGTTGTTGGAAACTCCGGATTTTAACTTACTTACTTCCTATTTATTTATCTATTTTACATGCTAATAGCGAAAATACAAAGAAAAAAACAATACCACCATTGATTGTACATGCCAATTTTCGACAAAAAACAATAACTTATACAACAAAAATACTACTACTACTATTACTATTACTATAATTATTTATTCACTATTTACTACTATTATTATTATTATTATTTACGACTATTATGACCTATTTATCTACCTATTTTGTCTATTTCATCTATTTATCTATCTATCTATCTATTTCATCTATTTTACATGCCAAAGTCACATGGGAACAAAAAAGAGTTGCTCCCATGGGGGGGTTTGAACCGGTTTTGAGTGGGGGTATTAGTACTTTTTCGCATATGTCTGTGCGCGAACAAAGTTGTGGGAGGTTACGCTCAATTGCTCACGTGAATTTCCTCAAACTAAACATATACACGTGATTCTTTACATAAATCTATCATATCTCTGTCAGTTCTCATCCGTTTCTGGTCGGGTTTTTTTCAATGGGCGCGTCTTGATGTCCTCTACATGCTGTATTATTAGTCCGACTCGTCGTTCGGCGATCCCGAGGAGACTATGGCGATTCTCTTATTTCCCACACAAAACTGTATGGTATTATTCTTATATATCGCTTAATACCTTACCAAATGTTCTATAAATTTGCGTACTAATTTATATATTATCAACGCAAGTTTTTGACATTTTTTCATATTTTTTTAACATGCCGCGAGGCACTGGAAGACGTTTCCCACGCACAGACCACGCGCAGAGCAGACACTACATTTGTATCTCTGTCAGTTCTTATTCGTTTCTCTTCGGGTTTGTTTCAACGGGCGCGTGTTAATACTCTCTACAATTATTATTATTGCCCCGGCTCATTATTGCGCGATTTTGAGGGTGGAAAGTGAAGTTTAATAGAATAATTTATTATATCTCGCTTGCTACAGCACCAAATGTCCTGAAATTTTGCGAACCATTTTATATAGTATTAACGCAGGTACCTAATATTTTTTCATATTTTTAAAACATCTGTAGGGTGCTGGGGACCGTTTCCCACGCACAGATCAGCCGCGGAGCTGACACTGGATTGGTATCTCCCTCAGTTCTTGACCGTTTTCCGTCGGGTTTTTTTTAATGGGCCCGGATTAATTTGTTTTACATTTGGTATTGTTAGTGCAAGTCGTGAATCGGCGTGTATGAGGAAGTAGCACGATTTTTCCACAAATAAACCATGTACATTAGTATCTCTGTCAATTCTCATTCGCTTTTCGTCGGGTTTCTTTTGATGGGCTCGGACCACCTCCCTGGTCATTTCTTATTATTGGTGCAAGCCGCGAATGAGCGCGTATGAGGCGGTAGGACATGTTTTTACATTTTTTCACAAAAAAACCATGTACATTCGTATCTCAGTCAATTATCATTCGTTTTTCGTCGTTCCTTTTTTTACATGCTTGTACCAACGCCCTTATTCTTTTATATTATTGGCGCACATCGCGAATGAGGGTGTATGAGGCGGTGGGATGTTTTTTCACACTTTTTCACACAAAAACACATGTACATTCGTATCTCTGTCAAATCTTGT